GGCTTCGCAACGAAAGGTCCATAAACCCCGTTAAGCCATGATTTAGTGTCTTACACAATCCCGATGATTGTTTAATAGTGTTTTATCGCTTTGGTTTGTTGTTTAGCACTGTTAAGGCTAAGGAAAATCAAACACATTAATTTTTCAAATGATGTTTTCTCATTGAAATAGCGAATTGTATAATGTAAACCCTACATACAAGGGTTAATGGAGTTGACCGGTTTGACTTGTTGACTTTGTTTGACTTTGACTTGAGCGAAATTTGACGGTTGTCACATATCCCAAACCGGGTTCGATTTCTCGGTTTTCGAAACTCGATTTCGGGTTTAAACCCAAACTCATTCAAAAGTTTAACTTGTTGAGAGTTAAGAAGTTTGTGTTACTTATATAACAGATGTATATGAGCTATGTTTCATGTTATGGCCGATGTGAGACAATTTTAAAATTTTAAAAAACAAGTTGAAAAGTTGATAAACAAAACAAAATACACCAATGTAACAGCCAAGATTCGAAATAGAGACCTCAAACTTAAAAGTTCAACACTTTACCACTTGAACAACTCAATACTTATGTTTAATTTTCACAACATCATAATATAATAGGTATAATATGTATAAAGCTATATAAAATGAGCTACAAAAATAAAAGAAAATAAATGTTTGCAAGAAGATTTAAACTTGCAACCTCCAAAAACATCCCTTAATGCCTTAACCATCTGAACCAATTACATCTTGGGTTATTATCTCGCTAAACATATTAATATTATGTATATGTACACTACATAAAACGAAATTTTTCTAAAAAAATTATACTACCGAAATTTTTTTGAGGGGTATCCCGGGATCTACTGTGGATCCGCCCATCTTTATCTTCAAATTGTGTTGATGTGGCACAATTCTCGGATACTTATATTTTAATTTCTTTTTTGGACCTTTTTCGTTTCTTTTTGGGAATGATTTCTCTCTTTATCTCCAATCAATAGTTGGGTCTTAAGAAGTGTCTTTCTCTTTGCCATGACAATAATTTGCAACAACAAAAAAAAAATTCTTTCTGGATAATCGATTTATTGTTTTTGTAATTGTTTTGAGTTTATTAGATCCGAATCCCAGAAATGATAGAAAAATATAAATTAGTTGCTACAATGTGTAAAATTAAGATATATTTATTTTATTCAAAAGAATATAAAGTTCGATGTTACATGTACGCAACACTTGTTTGATTCCAAAGCGAAAGTTCTAAGTGGATGAAAAGCAATACTATTGACTTTTCTTCCACGAGTGACTAATAATTGAAGTTTAGTTGACTTTGCTACAACACAATTACCCTTTCCTAGATTTAAATAATAAAAAAAAAACAAAATAGAAATTAAAAAAATACTAGGATTATTTATGATACATTATGTATGTATCAAGACTCGTATATATAAGGGGGGTAAAGGCGTCAATATCAAGATATAAACAAGCATGTTGACATAGATGGTCAAACAATGAGCACCAACCATATGAGCATCAACAACTAATCAAGATAGCGACTTATGATTGCCAAAGTTGAGGATGACCCAAACACAAACACAAACACAAACACATCACATGAAACTTTTCGTATCTAATGACCCACCAAAGTACTATATATCTACATATGTTTGTGTGTCTTTAGTCAAATAGATATTTTCATAATTTATCTCATTCAACATGAACAGTAAAAGATTTTTAAAAAGAAATACATAAATTCGTTTTAATCGACGTCAAAAGTCACTAAAATGGGTCTTCTTATGGTCCACGTTGATGAGTGATGACTCATGGCTTGCACTACTTGTCTTCTTGCTTTTCATCATCACAAGCTCCCACTTTCCCCCACTATTTCACTTTATTCAATTATGCTTTGGTCTCTTTTATGTGTTTTGAGGTCAAAAAGCAAACTTGAGTGTCTTAAGATATGTAGAAAACAACCACCCATTAAATGATTTTCATGCCAAACTTCAAACACTTTGGTTTTCACTCGAGTTGGCCCTCGGATTCCTTGCCAATGTTTCCTTGTCTGCAATGCGTGCACATAGTACAGTTGATTCTAAGGTGATATACTTATTTAAATGGTCAAAGCTTCAAGACTTAGTAGTCGAGTTGTAATTCAAAAATAGATTTGACTCTTTGTTTTCATGATATTGTGAATAATAGTATGTAGCTCATTGGTTGCCAACATAATAATTGGAGAAATGTCCACATTTTCTTCTCTAGAACTAACTTATAACTTATCAAAACAATAAACATGCCTTATATTATTGATATATAAATTTAGTACAATAAATAAACACCTATTGTTTTTAAAAATTTTCTAGGAGCAAAATTAGTGAAAAATTCAATTCTCTATGTACTTAAATTAATGACATTAAGCCCAATAATTTCAATGGAAATTTAATATCTTCTTTAATGAATTATCGAGGATGTGTCAATTTGCATATGTAAAGACTTGATCAAAATCAAAACGTTGTACACTTGTACTTAGTCTACTAAAAAGAACTAGTCAAATCCAAACCCTAACGTATAGTTTCTATTTGTCAAAATATCCAACACACTATTCAACAAAGATAAAGAAACAAAATACAAATCAAACACCATCAATTTTTATTTTAAACGATCAATAAGTTAACATACTCATATTTTGTAATAAACTTACATTCACAACCTAGAAATTATAAAAACACATTAATATAATCGTACCAAATTACATTATCAACTAGATTACAACATGATAATATGAAAATAAATATGTTAACATAAAACTTGAAGAGTACATCATCACTAGACAAAAAAGCTTCACTCTTTTCAAACCATTTTGTACTTTAGCATCTTTTCCAAATTTCAAAGATATACAGCTTTCAATGCAGCATGAACAATACTACTTGCACATGGAGAAAAGTTTGTCTTTCTCAATGAAGATTACATCATTGACTTGTAATTTGTGCATTGGGATTTGTAACTTTGCATTGGATACGATCAGTTCAACAATTAGACCAATAGAGTACAAAGAGCAAAAAAAATCTTACAGCTTTTTCTTTCCTATCCATATCCATCCATTGTCACACTTTCTCAAGAACACATGATATATATAGCTAGCATTGTATTGTTTTCAATACACAATGTACAAGCATGTAATGCACGTCAAATGAGAGTGAAATTGAACAAAATCTCGAAGCAGGGCATGAAATTGAGAACAAGATAGGAACTTTTACAATGAAGAGAGCAAAAAAAATTCTGGGTGATTTCTATTTTTTTCAGCAGATTACTGCAATACTGACTTGTACATTGTGCAGTAAAGTTGTACTCTTTTGAACTGGTCAATCTCTAACGTCTCTCTTCTTTTTGCCCATTTTCCCCAAATCTTGACCAATTTCTTATGCAAAATTCAACTATTATGGAGTCGTTACATTGGAAATTAAATGGAAACCTCATTATTCAAGAAGAACCTGAAACCCTTGGTGAAGTCACCGGAAACAAAGGCAAAAGTCGGGGTTCCGATTCCCTCCTCGGTGTACTCGCCGGAGATGGATGCAAATAAAATCCTTTCTTTGCAATCGCCTTGTCTTCAGCTTCAACGTTCAAATTCGGGCTATCTCCGGTTACCGGAGACCTATTGAACAGGTCGGGTATAAGAGGTGTAACTGGGCTAAGTACCAGAGATGGGAAATTAAGAATTCCCGGGGAGAGAATCTCCGGTGTGCCTGGTCTCCGGGGAGAACCAAAGAAGCCAGACTGGTTTACAAAGCCGGGCACCAACGGGCTGATCTTGAAGTTCTTCATGCTGTTTCTCCGCTCATATAGCTTGGATGGTTTCTTGTTAGGACCCGTTTTCATCGGCGGGATGGGGTTTCTGATGGGCGCGGGCGCATCAGATCGGGTGTTGGCGGCGTGCTTGGCGGTTTCGGAGGATCCAGTGAGCATTTGGACTACTTTCTTAAAGGAAGTGGTGTCAGCTTGAACGAAAGTAGTTGGGTAGGGGTTGTTGGGGTCGGATCTGGCGATGGGGGTTGCAGGAGGAGATGGTTGGTGGTGGTGATGATGGTTAGTGGTGGTGCTGGTGTTAGAATTGGTGCTAATGCTATGACTATTTGGAGAAGGGTTTTTGGTATCCAGAGGTCTAGGTGAATAATTTTCCATAGATGAACGAATCTAGAAAGAGAAACCAGGTTGAAATCTAGAGAGATGGAGAGATTGAGATAGAGAAAGAGAGAAGTGTGAGGTGTGGTGAATGGGAAGAAGAAGAAGAAGAAGGAGGTGATGGTTTGGCATTTTGCATTTCAATTTGTTACTTTGTTTGGTTTGGTAGGAAATGTCTTGGTGGGACTTTGGATCTATTCCTTCTACCATCCCCACTCGCTTCTTCGGAGCGTCAACAACACCAAACTTTGACCGCTTAATCTATCTCATTAGGTGTTTGGGAGTGAGCTTTAAAAAGTTTATTCATTCATTAGTTTTTTGTTGCTAAGTTTAAATGATTGTTTGGTAATTATAGAATAAAATCTTTTTTGTACCAATGCTAAGAAGGTTTTGAATATATATATATATATATA